TCATAATCATCATCATCATGAGCATCAACATCACTTTGCCTTTCTCCCCTTTTCACATCGTCAGCCACACTCCCACCCGCTGTCACTTTGTGCCCAGCTTTATCGGCGTTGCAATAGTCCTCATCTTTCCCATTGTCCCAACCATCCACACTGTTCCATCACTTTATCCTCGTCATCGTCATCGTCATCGTCACCATCATTATCATTAGCCACACGGCTATTGCCCCCAATTGAAATCCCACCAACTCGACTGACATTAGCATGTGAAGCATCAAGCTCGGTGTCGGAAAGCGCACCAACCTCACCATTTTGATCGTCATTCTCAGGCACAAGATCATTGCCAATTTTGATATCAAAATCACCATCTCCGTAACCTCTTACTTTTCATTATCTTCGTCATAATCATCGTCAGCCTAGTCATTTTCATTTTCAATTTTCCCACCCAAAACGCCTGCTTTGGTTGCAGTGCCAGTTTCGATGTCGTCATCGTCAGGCTCATTCTCACTGGCATCATCACCATCATCATTAGCATCATCACCGCTTTTACCATTTCAACAGCACTGGCACTCGTCTCCCACGGCCCCACTCGACCAGCTCGCGCTTGATTGGCTGGTTGGCTGGTTGGCTGGTTGGCTGTGCGAGTGGGTGGGTGGCTGGGCGGTGTTCAAGTGGCCACTGGGCTCCGTTTCACGCAAATGCTGCCTGACGGAGTGGCCAGTCAAATGGCCGATTGATGCGTTGTCATGCGAGTGGGTCATGTCGAGCGGGTCTGTCGAGAGTTGCGCAAAAGCTCGGACAGTCATTGGTCGGCTCGAGTGGTCGGCTGTTCGGCTGTTTGGCTGATCGGCTGGCCGACTCGTATCTTGTCCGCCAAGTGATGGGTGGAGAGGTCAGAAACGGTGTGGTCGAGAAGGCCACTTGGCAACAGGCGTGTCATCATCTGGCCAGCGGAAAAGAGAGAGAGAGAGACAGAAAGAAAGTTACTGACCAGTCTGAGGCAAAAATGTGTGTGTGCCGCGACCGGCTGTGGTCAGCCAGGCGTGACGAGGTCGCGGAGGCCGGTTGAGGCTGGCACGGACAGACGACCGGCGCGACTCGAGCTCGGACAACCGCGACCGCAGCTCGACCGGCGGTCCTCATCCTCTTCCCACTCCTCTTGCTCCCTCTTCTCGTTTGTCTTCTTGTCCTTCTCCTCCTTAAACATGCACACAAATAGACATACATCTGTATATATACACACACACACACACACACACACACAGACACACACAGACATCAATCCACCCTGGCAGAGGCGAGTGGGGAGAAAAGTGTCGTCTGTCTTGGGGGAAGAGGAGCAGCGAATGGGCTGGTCAATGCGAGGCTGGAGGCTGTGCATGTGCGTCGAGGAGGACACCGGCTCGACAACCCTCGCACGGAATTGGCGTCAATTGACGCTTCACGTCGGCCGCGTGCCAAGGGCCAAGGGTGAAGGTGTCAACTGAGATGTATTCACCCTATTTCGTGTTATGTGATGAAGGACTGGTAGCAGAATTTTCCCACAATCATATGAGTTGAGCTGACGTTTACATTCAATTTCACATAGCTTTGCTTTGCCAAAAGTTGTTCTCATCCCGGCTGGGGTGGACTGCAGTTTCGACCTCGCATTGGTCTTATC